CAGAAGCTTGAATGTTCTAGGGCTAAAAGGGGAAAACAGAAACAAAAGTGTCCATTCCATAAGGTAATTTCCTCCTCAGCTCCTGTCACCAGTTTCCGATGGGGAACAATCAAGAATTTGCCACCGTGCTGGTATATGCCATTTGCTGAAGCCATCTGGAGGCTAGTCTGAGTGCTAAAAGCATAGGACGCTATGAAAGGAGAATGGTTTCAATGAATATGCAATAAGGGAGAGCAGATGAAAATGGAGCTTGGGAGCTTTGGTAGTGCCTTCTGGAACTTGGCAAGAAAGTGCTTGAGGGTGAATATGAGGCACAGAGCTTGAGCACTCTAGCCTTTAAGAGAAGCCTGAGTGTGGAGGGAGTGAGAGTAGAATAGGAATACAGACTGTGCTTGGTGGCCTGGTTGTTCATATCCTATGTGTAGTATGATGTATAAAGAGTCGGAGAGACATAGTTTCTGGGTAATTAATCATTTTAATAATTATCCTAGCGGAATAAGTAATGAAAGAGGTCAGTGGCACTTTCAAATGCCAAAGACCCCTCATGGAATCCACTCAATGCTTATATGCCCTTGGAAGAATGGATGTTCCTGAGGGTGGCAATCAAGTCTGATTGGTTAACAATTAATGAGAAGAATTAATATTATAATGAAAAGTGGGCTTATTCTAAGGAGGGACTGGGGGAAGTTACTCTGATCACTTAGTCTTGGACAAAGAGACTTCTCTCTTATCCAGACTACTCTCTCTAGGACAATCTAGACAATTTAGACCTGGCTGACTGAAACACAAATGGGCCAGATTTCAATGGACTAGAATCTCTTTGTAAGGTTTTTCTGGTTGGATAGGGCAACAATTCCACCAAATAAGATGGTCTTGGTGGGGTAAATTTTTGGGCAAAGTCAGAGATCTTCCCAATAATTTGTTATCTAATAATCATTTCTCTCAATAAGCATGTACAAATATAGAGCAAGTAATGATGAAAAGCTGTAAGATCATATTTTGTATAGTAAATATATATAGTAAAACTTACCTGAATCTTGTACTCCCATGTGTTCCCTCCCCCAGGTCTAGGTTCAAAATAAAAATGACTGGGATAGGGTAAAGTAGTATTATCATTTCCATCTTCTCCACATCTGTAACCATCCTGTCCTCTCCACTGACTCTAGTCCCTCATCGCCTCTCACCTGGACTATTGTGGTAGCCTCCTAACCAGTCTCCCTGTCTCAAGGCTCTCCTCTCTTCAATCCATCCTCCATACAGCCAACAAAGTGATTTTCCTAAAGCAGAGGTCTGACAATGTCATTCCGCTCCTCAACAAACTCTAGTGGCTCCCTATTACTTCTATGACAAACTATAAGCCCTCTCTGTTGGAATTTTGAAGTCCTATATGACCCAAACAGCCACATTACATATTACTCCCCTTCCTGCATTCTTAAGCTGAGCCAGAATGGCCTCTCTCTGCTCTTCACATACAATACTCCATCTCCAGGCTGCATGCTTTTGTGGTGGACTTCCCAGTGTTTGAAATGTCCTCCTTCTTCACCTGTGCTACCTAGAATCTCTCACTTTTTCAAGACTCAGCTCAAGTATCACCTTCTTTTTTCTTTTTCTTTATTAATTTTTTTATTTTTAGCTTCCAACATTCACTTCCATTTGAATTCCAAATTTTCTCCCCCTCCCTCTCTTCCCCCTACCCCGAGACTGGATGCAACCTGATATAGGCTCTACATGTACATTCCTATTAAACATATTTTCACATTAGTCATGTTGTAAAGAAGAATTAGAACCAATGGGAAGAACCACAAGATAGAAGAACAAAAAAAGAAAGCAAATAGTATGCTTCAATCTGCATTCAAACTCCATGGTTCTTTTTCTGGATGTGGATAGTATTTTCTATCATGAGTTTCAAGTACCACTTGAACTACATGAAACCTTTCCCAACCTCCCCCAACCGCAAGTACCTACCCTCTCAATTTTACTTGTATTTAGCTATCTTATACTTATCTTGAATTTATTCTTCTTTTTTTTTTAGGCAATTGGGATTAAGTGACTTGCCCAGGGTCACACAGCAAGTAAGTGTCAAGTGTTTGGTCTGAGGCTGGATTTGAACTCAGGTCCTCCTGACTTCAGGGCTAGTGCTCTATCCACAAGCTAGCTGCATCTCTCAGGATGACCAACACTCAAGAAGCAGCATAAGGCATCTCACTGAAGAAATGTCTGAGCGAAAAGGGAGGTAGACCAGTCACACAGAGAGAGTGTAGGACAATAGATGGAGAACCAGAATGTTCCACTGGTACCCAGGAAGAGTACACCCCCTAGAGTAAGGCTTCCAGAATGACAGACGATCATCTGTGGAAGAACATGGATGAACATGATTCACAAAGGATGGAAAGGCAAATTGTGCCACCTCTCTGAGTCTCTATTTCTTCTCTTTTGTAAGGGGGCCAGACTAGAGGATCCTTCCAGCTCTGAATCTATATGCTTTTAAGTCTATCAGCAAAGGGGCTTTTTGATCTATACCAGTGGGGAGAATCCTCACATCTATTAGATCTCAGGCCCATTAACTGTTAAAGTATGAAAAACTGAAGACTTTTGTGCTTTTGCTCCTGAAAAAAAAAAACGTAAGAAAAAGGGAAATATAATTATCACATTCAGGCTTGGTGTAGAAGAATGAAATTGTGGCATATTGGCAGCAAATACATACAAAAAATGGGCAAGATGACTCATGGCTATAATAACTTAAATAGAATAACTTTTATATCTGTTGTGACAGATCTGCCAACACCCAATTTAATAAGAAAATGAATCATTCAGGACTAGATGAAGTATGCCTACATATGTAGGGCTAAAAAAAGTCATGATAATGTAGCCATCACCTTCATCACCTTAACTTCTCTGGACCTCAATTCCTAATCTAAAAAATGAGGGGAGCGGCACTAAATGACTACTACCAGGTCCCAGCTTGCTCTGAAACTCTTACTCTGTGAGCTCGCAAGGGGAAAAAAGGCAAGAAAGCCAATTACGGCAAATTATGTGGCGGTGGTTAGATCCTTACTGTAATCTCTATTGCCACTTACTTACTTTGGGCTACTAGCTATTCTTTGATTTCATCTGATCTCACCTATCTCCCTAGATTCATAAAGATGACTAACAATGTCTGGAAACCCCTCCTTGAACATTTTCACGTTCTTGAAATCATCTTCTTTCAAGGGTCAGCTCCTGGGCCACTTCTGTGAAGCATTCCTAGCTTCCTTCATCTGAAAGCAACATCTCCCCTCCTCATATTTTTTGATAGCATTATGTCTAGACCCCTTCTTTGCCCTTGTCACATTCTGTGTAGTGGGTGGGTAGTGGGTCACCCAGGGCCAATAATTAAGGACACAATTGGTAGAGTGCAATGGGAATCCTCTTCTGGAAGAGGTTAAGCAAGATCCAAATTAGGAGGAAAACAGGGGCCTAGTCTGCTCAGTTACTGAAGTGTTTACAAGTACTGAAATCCAGATGCTCTGATGAGTTATTAAACTAATTGGTAGAGTCAAAGAATTCAGAACTAAAGGAATCTGCTAGCAATTAGGAAGACAAAAAAAATTTTTTTTTCAGTTAAGTGCCATGGAATTAACATTTTAATTCAAGTGACTCCTAAAACTCTATTTCAAGTGGTCTCTTATTTTGGAGGGTTTGAATACCTTACCTATGGCTAGTACTTTACAGCCCTGAGTAATATTTCGTGGGCCAACCACCTATTTCTGAGTCAGCCACTCCCCCTGCATCTTTCCCTGCTTACTTGGCCTGGGCCTGAACTGTCTACTCTGTGTAATGGAGATCTAGGCCAGATCACCTAAATTGGGGTTATCTACATGGAAGGCCCTAGGGAGCTGATTCCAGGAGAGCAGAAGACATGAGCATGTATGGACATTCTTATTGATTTACCATGTGGTTGGGAAGAATCTTTTCCCATTGGCCTAAATGAGCATCAGCCATAACTTTTGCTGCATTTGTGTTTGAGGGAGCAAGGTAAGGCCACTCATAGCCAAATGAGACCATGAAATAAGGGAGTGAGATCCTTGAGGAGCCTTCCTTCCTCCACTGAATCCTTGTGGTCCTAGGTCTTTGGCCTTCTTGTTCATTCTTTTCTGCCCTTAATGCATGGTGTGGTGTCTCTGATCTGGCCAAGAGTGTAAGCCACAGCAATCTGGGCATTCCTGAATCCAGACCAGGTGTTGCAGGTAGCCCAGATATGAAAAGCAAGGAAGCCAGCACTCCAGCCCAGCAGAAGCCAGCAGAGATGGGGGTTTGGACTTCAATTTGGTGTGACCAGTCCTTCATAAGAATTGAGTTAAGGTGTAAGCCTAATTATCATCTTCTACCAAGAGGCCTAGGTAGTTTAAAGAGCATTATGACCCTGAGGTATTGGAGGAAATATCTGTGTCTTTGTTCTTACTATGTCTGTAAAATAAATATTCCTTTGTAAAAGTCATCTGATATTAAGTGGTTAAATGTAATTGGATTGCCAGTCACTAGACACCTAAAAATGGACAGGTTTGGGGGGAATGATAGGGGAGAAGAATAAGACCACTGGTTGGGGAGATTGAGTCAATCAATGGCAGGGAAAAAAAGAGACAAGCTCCTCAGTGCCTCAGAAGGTGGGGAGTCGGGTTCGGGTAGTGGTGGAATGTAACAGGCCTAGCCCTGAGAGAGCAAAGGGTCAAAGTCAACCCTATTGCACTTGTAGCATAAATAGTTATGCACATGTCTTTCCTTTCCTGTTAAATAACAAATTCTTGATGAGCTTTCCTCTCCTCTGTGAAAAAAAATGCTATGATGCTTACACCCAGGATTCCTGTCATTGTACTTTGGCAACTTATTCCTCATGGATAGTCAGAATCAGGTACAGAATAAAAAGTTCCTCTTGTTATTTCCTCCTTACTTTGAAAGATGAAGTCCGACAAAGGCATCAGTCAACTAGCATTTATTAAGCACTTACTCTGTACCAGACTTTGTGCAAAGCACAAGGAATCAAATACAACCAAAAAGAAAAAACAGCCCCTGCCCTCAAGAAGCTGCCATTCCAATGAAGGAAAACAACCCATTGAAGTGAGCTGAAGGGGGTGGGAGGAAGGACAAAGGTACCTTGTGCACAGACATGGTGGAGAAAGTTCAGCGTGTAGCCTGGGGAAGAGAGATGTGGCTGGCCTGAGTACTCTTCTTAAATGGAGGTTCTGGGAGGAGCAGTCCAAGCAGGGAGAGGGACCTTCCAGCGTGTGAATTCCAGGGCTGGAGTGAACTTCCAGATTGAAGAGTTGAACCACAGTGGAAAAGGTCCTGAGTAGATCTGGGAAAGGAATACAAGTCATAAATGTATCCCCTATTACGCTTTTGGGAGAGAGTTTTAGCCAGGCAATGTCCACTGTGCTGACGTTCTCTATTATTACAATATCATACTTTCAAGCCAGGTTTTGTATCTGCTTACCAAACTTTTCATCTAATTCCTCCTGTCCTGATGGTATATGGTGTACCACCCCTACCTCTGCCCCCCCCACACAGTAGCGTTACTTCTCTATCTGCTTCCACTTCTCTTCACCCAAATGCTCTTTGCAATACTTCTGCCTTTGAGTTCCTGATTTCATCACAGAAGCATACTTTATAAAATACTTGATAGGACTTCAGTTTAATCTATTCTGTTTCTTTTGAATAAGGTAAAAACCACAGCCATATTTCAGGCCCATCAAGTCTCAGTAATACATTTCTCTCCTTGGTTAAATTTCCTTCCTTTCATTGGAACCTCTAGTTCAATCTATTTATTACTTATACCTTGTGCATTTGTATGGAAACATATGAGGCCAGGGGGTTTATTGTTAGATCTCTACTGAGATAGTGTCTCTTATGGACTATTGGTCCTTTCTTCTGCCATTCATCTCTTTCTTTTCTGTCTTTCCTTTTAGCATTCCTTTTATTTTCCTCTGTGCATTTTTTTATTTTTTTATTTTTAGGAGATTGGGGTTAAGGGACTTGCCCAGGGTCACACAGCTAGCAAGTGTTAAGTGTTTGGTCTGAGGCTGGATTTGGACTCAGGTCCTCCTGACTTTAGGGCCAGTGCTCTATCCACTGCACCATCTCTTTCTTAATATAGCCATCTGCACCTGTCTTTCACCATCACTGCACAGGACCATCAGATAGTGATCAGCTGCTGGTCCTTAACTGGGAATCCATGGCTAGATTTCAGATCATCCCTAAACTTGGATAGGGAAAAAAAAATTACATCTTTATTTTCACTAACTGAAATTTAGTATTTCTTTCAACAATTTAAAAACATTATTCTGAGAAGGGGTCTCTATCTAGCCTTCATCAGATGACCACAAGGGTTTGTGACTCAAAAAAGGTGAACAACCCTTGGACTAGAGGATACCAGCAAAATAGAGAAGGTACAGAGAAATGGGGAGAATGAGCAATGAAGCAGTAGACAACTTGGAAAAATATGGCAAAACCAGGAAATCAGTCGTGTCTGTTTGGTGACCTCACTATTTCCATTGATACTTAAAGAAAAAAGTATCAAAACTATGTGTCCCATTTCCTTTTTATAAGTGACCCCATGTAGTCTAACAGCATGTAGTCACCAGGTGGATTTGGTGCAAATATGTTAGCATGGAAAAAGATGGTATCACTTGCCTTGATGCTTCTGTAAATCTGTGATCTCATTTATGTGGAACTTCCTCCAGAAGCACAGGACACACAACCCATCCATGCCTTCTCATCCTGCCTAATTTTAGTCCACATGTTTCCATAAACCTGCTATTGGGAATCAATTTGGAATTAGAGGACCTGGGTTTAAATCAGCTTTGCCTGTGCAACTTTAGGTAACTGTAACTCCCTGGGCCTCGTGCCTCATCTATAAAATGAAAGGTTTGGAGTAGATGCCATCTAAGGTCCCTTCCAGTTCTAAGTATCTGACCCTGTCATCCAGTGCTTCCTTTTCTGACTCTTTTAAAATCTTGTGAATATCCATATGTCACTTGGGCGGTCCATTGGTTATCCCCTCCCTCCTACCTACTGTCCAGGCCATGTCCTTTTCTGATCACACATATGCTTAGTGTAACCACAAACTGACAGGTAGCACAACTGAGCAGTGGAGCAGGAAGACTGCAGGTAAGAACTCTGTGTGGCACCACAGGGGAGGACTGGGGAGTTTAATTATCTGGACAGCCTTTTCTGTGTAGCTATGTTCTCCCGTGTTACGTGTCCCCAAGGAGAGTCTCCTGGGGTAGCCTATACTGCAAGCTGCTGGAGGTTTTGAGGTATTACACACAGTAAAGGGATCAGGCAGTAATACTGCTGATAATAACAATAAGTAATAATCTTTAGTATTTTTTGAGCCCTTCCCTATTTGCTCAGGCATGATTGTACCAAAGTTCACAGAATACTTATAATCAGAGGCCACAGGACCTTCACACTTAATAATGGCAAGAGGAGAGCATTTCTTCTTGCAGTATTTATTCCATTGACATTGTATGACACCAAAGATAAAAACAACATCCAGGTGGATGCTATTTTCATGATTTTAAAGAGATGATATATTAAAGAAATATTCTCTGGAAGAATACTACTATTCATGATCATTTTCACACTTTTAAAATCATCCACTCTGAAATATCTTGAAAACTGATCCTCCAAAGCAATTAAAGAATTTTCAACCACACAGTAGCTGCAGAGAAGAGGGCTATGTGGTCAAATGGAAAGAGTTCCTAAGGGCGGTATTTTCAGTAGGACAAAGTTTGAGATCATTACTTTCTTGCTAGCGAAAAGGAAATTTCTTGAGAGTGCCTGCCTTGGGGATTGCCTCAAAAATAGCACCAAGTTTAAGAGCTTGGGGATCCTGCCTTCTACCTAAAGAGGGGGAATTTCCTGGATAGTGTGAGAGATATGGCTTGCAGAGCTGGAAGATGTGTCGAGGGACTAAAGTTACAAGATGAAGGGAACGAGAGATCTGGACTTTGTTATTTTTTATTACTGGAAGATACTTAGAATGGGTCTGACAGTTTCTAGTAGAGTACAAGCCCCCTGGAGATTTTAGGAACTAATGAGCATTACAACTTACTGGAGGGAGAAGAATATTGTGCTGATTGTTTATGGGCCACTGAGAGTCTTTCATATGCTTTCTGCATTCCCTATGAGCCCCTGTAAGCCCTTTACATTTTCTATATTTTCTGTGTTGTAAAATTAAGGTTGTCCTCTATCCAATAAACACATTGCTACCTTGCGCTTCTCTACCTTTACCCTTATCGATCATGTCCCAGACATGAGATATATGTATTTTAAAAAATAACAAACAAAAATGTTAATAAACAGCATTTATATAATGCTTTCTGGCTGCAAAATATCTTACGTACGTTATCTCATTTGATCCTCACAACATCACTGGGAAGTAGGTGCTGTTTCTATCCCCATTTTACAGATGAGGAAACTGGGCTGAAGAAGAGTAAGTGACTAAGTAGGTAAGTAAGCTAGTAAATGTGTGAGAAAGGAATTGAACTCATGTCTTTCTGACTTCAGAGTAAACTTTGCATAGGGATCTAATGAGCTATAGCACATATAGGCTCTGGGGCTTGATGAGGATGGGAGCTAGACCCCAAAAAAGGAAAAACCCTGGACTTTCCCATATGGCCTAATCTCTGGCATTCCCCTGAGGCTATAATCCCATCAACTGGCTTTCATTGTGGCTATGCCCAATCTGTTACCCTTAACCTAGCCTAGACCTTCCTAAATCCCCTGGCCACTTCCCACCCTTAATCCTATCTAGGCTCCATTCTCTCTTGACCACCTCTGGAGTTCTATTACTTCATAGACTACTTGGCCACTCCTAGATCCCTCCCATAGTTTTTCTGTATATAAGATCCATCTTGTCTCCATTAAGATGCTCAGATTCCTAAAATCTAGCCAGGGCTCTGATTCTTATAATCTAGCCACTGCTCAGATTTTCACAATCTAACCAATACCTCATAGATGCTCAGATTCCTTAAGAGTCTGGCTAATCTTCAATAAACCTTGTTTTTGAAAGAAGGCTTGGATTGAATTCTTTCAGACAGGACCCATGTGTCATGATTTTGGGATTCCAGGATCCCTAACCTCTAGACCTCATCAGGGCTCAGTCTCCCAACACTCACTTGAACTAATGGATAGATAGATGGTCCTTGCTATGGTGCTCACGTAGTAATGTGGTTTCACATTCAGCTTGGACAGTACACATGTGGCATTTGAGATGTCCCCGACAGCCTCAGTTTTCATGATACTGTGGGTGACAAACTTCTTGACTGCCTTGTCCTTGGACCTGTGGCAGGTGTGGTTGGTACACAAGATGTGTTACTTGTGGCTCTGGCCTTTTTCAGCATTTCTGTTTTTCCTCTTCATGTTGTAAGAAAAGCTCTTTGTAATCTCTAAAGACCTATATAAATGTGAGCTATTCTTCTTCCTGGCATAATTAGTTTATTAGACTTGGTTTTTTTATGTTTGGAAAACAAATAAGAAATAATTCACTAAATACTAAAAAGAGTGATTCACATAGAAAATGGGAAAAAAAACATCATTTTTTATGTTTTGGTTACAGATCTTATGAAATGTTCATAATGACCCTGAAACTTTAATTACAAAAGATATTTTATGGCATTTCCCCATTAGAAAGCAAATGTTTTATGTAGTGAAAAGATTTATTTCCATTATCATGAAATGAACCAAAAATAAAGTGGTCCTTGGTAATCTGATAAAAACCGTGGTTGGGGGCAGCTAGGTGGTGCAGTGGATAGAGTTCTGACCTTGAAGTCAGGAGGACCTGAGTTCAAATCTGACCTCAGACACTTGACACTAGCTGTGTGACCCTGGGCAAGTCACTTAACCCCGAAAAATCAAACAAATAAACATGGTTGCACCAAAGAGAGTCAAGCCTGTCTATATAGCATCGCATGGGCCTAATCACAGGAAAGACAAGCACAATTACTAGGAGAAAGAAGAACGTAAAGAAAAAGACACAGTGAACATGTTCAACTCAAGGAAAATCTAGCTTAAGATTTTAAAATTTTATTAAGTAGGAAATGTTGATATTAGCAAAACAGAATGAATAAAATTAGCAAAAGTGTTACAAGATAATGAAATTTTTAACAAATACACACACACACACATAATCATATTATGACAACTCACATATTATGACAACTCGATGAGATCTAGATGTTTAGGGATGCTGGGACCCCAAAATCACAACACATGGGTCCTGTCTAAAAGAATTCAACCCAAGCCTTCTTTTAGCCAAAGACAAGGTTTATTAGAACATCTGTCATATTGGCC